TTAAAATTTTCTTCTTTATTTAGTTTTTCTATTGTTTATAATTATAATAGTTAAAGCAACTAAGTATATGTTCATTTTTGATTTATTACTAAAGCCTACACCACAAGATTTAGAAGATTCTGACGATGAGAGTCTAAGCGATTTAGAACCAGAGGTTGTTTTGAATACTCAATCAGCAAGTGAACATCGAGAAATTGACTACGAGGCCATACGCAATAAAATAGACAACTACAGGGAAAATATTGAACCAAACAAACGCCTCTATAATCCTCTCTGGTACTATATAATCGATCATTCAGGACAGCATACACCAACGAATAATCTCCTTAGTGAATTTAGGGAAATCATTCCGAAAGATGTTTCCTTTATAGTTGAAGAAACTTCCGAAGAACTTTCAAAATTGTTTAATAATCTCGTAAATGTAAGTTATGTTAAGATTGTGATATTGCCAATAATTATAGTAAACCAAAGAATTTATAAGCTTATATGCTGTATATGTTTTTTTAGACGCAAGATTTAAATTCTGTGCTTGTAAAGAATGAAAAAGAAGATAACATAAAGGATGTATGGAAACAAATCCATAAAAATTTAGGCCGGCCAAAACGTAAGCTTTCTGAAGCAATGCACAAATATAGAAACATTCTACCATATTTCGACAACATCTTTGATGACGATGAATGGCAACTTGAATGGTACGTATAGGTATGACCAGCGTTTATTTTTTATATGCGCAAAGATGTGCGCACGTGTGCAGATCCAATCAAAATTTTAAATAAAGCAATTTGATTGGATCCGCACACGTGCACACACTTTGCGCACGTGAGAATAAACACTGGGTATGACAAATTATATGTATTTAGTGGATTGGTAAATTCTTGCTGAACAATGCGGATTGTTCCATAGAAACTTGCTCATTTGCATAACTTTTCGAGAACAAATCCATGTTTTTTGATGATTTGGAGTTCAAATGAAAGTTTCAAATAATAGCATAAAAAAATTGTTGAGAACATTTGACTATTTTTAAACATACGATGAGCGAATGATTGATATTGTGTTATAAGAGTATTTTATCTATTTTGAAGTATTTTGGAGAAATACATCATTAATTGTATTTGTTAAATTTTTCATTGTAATATAGTGGCGAAAACTCTTTGGTGAGTTCAAGCGAGCGACGGAATCTAAACAGAGACCCGCAATCTCAAGCTCGAATTGGTCAAAAATGTGATATTACAATCACTTCTAATAAGCTCGGCTGGTCCCCAGAGCTGCTTATAGGGGAGGTATCGGGAGGTATCTTACCACAATGCTCAGCGCACAAGGCATGGGAGGATAAGATAAAACTTGGAATCGGCTTGAGAGACATACTAGTCCGATTGGAAAACGAGTTGCCAGGTATAAACCAAGCTGTATATGGCGTACAAGTTGTTGGTGAGTTTTTTATTTTTAGATGATATTTAATGCGTAATACCAGAAAAACAATCTTATAATTTTTTGTTCAAATTAGGGTATAAATTAAAGGTTTATGCCATGGTAAGTCGTGAAGGGCTATTCCATTTAATGTTGCTGCATGAATGTTATATCCCAGCAACATTATACGAAATCTATTATATCGAGAACATTTGGAACGTTTTAGAAACTTTGCACGGCAAAGTCAGATTGTTGGAAATGAACATATACTTAGTTGCTTTAACTATTATAATTATAAACAATAGAAAAACTAAATAAAGAAGAAAATTTTAA